GAAAATTGGTACAAATTAAAAATGGGTATAAACTAAAACTAAAAATATATGATAAAAATTTAGTCATAAATATAAATATACTAATTGTAACATTTTTAACATTAAATGAATATATTTAGAAATAAAAAAATATTTTATTATTAAAATAATTAATGAAGTTATTAATACCCAATGACCTCGATCAAAAATTGAAAAGGAATATGATTTTAATCAATGGAGTAGTAAAATGAAGGATGAGAACCTAATTTCTTCATATAAAAAATTATAAACATTATTGGGAAGACATGAGTTCAAATTTCATTAAATTACAATTGTTGATAAAATAAAGTTTTATGAAATGGACGAAAATAACACTCAATTTGAGAGATGAAATCAAATTGAATATTTTCTTTTTTGTCAACAACCAAATTCGAAGTTTATGAGGCCAATTAAAATAAAGTATCCAAATTAAGAGCATTGCAAAAATGTTGCCCAAAATTCTGAAATTCAATAAGTGGATCATGAGAATCTTTTCTTGCATGAAATAGGTTTTATAGCATTGTGAAATTCAATTTAAGTCTCAATTAATTTCCTAATATTCAAATTTTATCACCGAACTTTTTAAAACTCAACTTATATTTCATTGATTACCTACCGTCAAGTTGTGAAATTCAACTTAAGTCTCAATTAATTTCTTAATATTCAAATTTTATCACCGAACTTTTTAAAACTCAACTTATATTTCATTGATTACCTACCGTCAAGTTTGTTAAAACAATTTACGTGACACAACTATAATTCATCATTAAATAAGTTTACATACTATGCGTCTATAAATATAAAAAATAAAAAAAATAATAGAGATGTTACGATGACATATTGGTGAGGTTTGGAAAAAAAAAGTTAAAATTTATTTTGTGTAAAATTATATTACTACGTATGATTTGTTTTGTGATAGAAGATTAAATTGTTTTTGCATTCTAGTTATGTCATAATTCTACAATTGATCCACTGACACGTAGGATAAAATGTCGCAATGACATTGCCGTAAATAAAAGCTAAAAAGAAAGACAAAAGGGTCATTCCGGCACCGCCAAAAGAGTTGTACTTTAGTGTTCGGACGGACTCTGTTTGTCCTCACGTGCCCTACCTTCCAACGCACGCCCTCAAGCTTGTATTGCTCCATCCATCCAAAATTTTGAATGGAAATCTAATGAAAATGATTTAAAAGTTTTGAGTTTTAATGAAAATGATAAAAATATATTGTAAATAAATAATACCATGATTGACTTTTTAGAGTAAAATTATGATTTTTCATTAATGTGAAAAGTACCGGAAACTTCCCGTTAAAGTTCTCAATTTTAAATTCCTCATTTCTCCTCTTTGATTGATGATTTGTTTTTGAAAAATCAATAATCTACACTCTTTTTTGCTTGAAAACGTGGCTAAAAGCAAGAGGCCCAAAAAATATATTTAATAATAAATTTAGATTGAAACATCTCAAGTCAATCCTTACAAATAAAGTTAGTTGAACAAGAATAAGAAGTATCAAAATAAAAATTACTTGATTCACTAGTTGCTGAGCTTAAAATCTTAGTGTAAGAGCAAACACATAACCTCCTACTTAACGGGATTCTTTTCACAAAAGAATTCGAGGTTAGCATGGTATACTTTCGTCCAATTTAACTCGTTTGAAGGATATCTTAAATTGAAGGATATATTTCATTCAATTTCGGCTACTCCTACTTTACCTCGGATATCCTCATTCCTAATCTTATCATTTCTCATGTGCCCACACATCCAACGAAGCATCCTCATCTCCGCTACACCCATTTTATGTACTTGTTGATGCTTCACCGCCTAACATTCTGTGTCATACAGCATCGCCGACCTTATTGCCGTCCTATAAAATTTTCCCTTGAGCTTCAGTGGCATATGGCGGTCACACAACACGCCGGATGCACTCTTCTACTTCATCCATTCTTTTGCAAGATAGATCCTAGGTAGCGAAAGCGGTCGTTCTTTGGTATTTCCTGATCTCCGATCCTCACCCCTAACAAGTTGGTATTTCGGCACCACCAACGCTTTTTTTTTCTTCTTTTGTAAAGCAACGACATACCAACTTGTCTAACTCACATTTGCATGAACAACTTGCCTAAGTCACTAATGCTTAAGCAACATACTTAATTCACTTCCACATGTATATAGGGTCAGGACCAAGGAACAGAGTTTTTGACAAATATCTTACACTTGTTTTAAATCATTAGGTTTCATAACATTCAATGGTTATAAATAGAGATGATGTGGAAGCTTTATTATCATACAATGGTATGGTGCCAATAAGGAATTATAATTAATAAGAAAATCAATAAGAAATAAAATTGAAATAAAATAAAACTGAATAGAGAAATATCAGAAAGACACTGTAATCGAAAGGGGAGGGGAAACACATCCAGCCCTCACCGCCAATTTTTAAAAACAGATTTATCAATTTTATGCTTTTAACTTTTCTCAAAATATTTTTATTAGTTGAAATTAACTTTTATTTTCATGTATGGCCATATCATTTAATATTGAGTTTCGATGAGTCATCTTGATTTCTATTTATAACCGTTAGATGTGTATAGATTTAAAGGTTAAAAAAAAAAAATATGTGTTAAATTTTTTGTCCCTTAATCCTAACACGTACATATATATACATCTATACTATTATTAAGAAAGTAACCTTTGTCAACACCTTTTATAAAATTCCAATTCTGTTCTTATTTTTCCAATTTTGGCCTTAGTATATTAAACAACAATATTAATTATCAAGGATATGTCAAACTACATAGTCAATTTAATAGAAATTTTAATTTCTCACAATCCCACATTCTCTTCACCTCTCTTTTGAAGAATAAAACTCCTCAATTGCTCAAAACATGCATAGCATGCGTGCAATTGCTAGTTATTAATGAATTTTAAATACAAAAAAAGAATTAATTAACAATAAAAATGCTAATTTCTTGGTAATTGGACTTAAATTTGAGTGCGCAAGCTGGAATATTGCTCTAACAATTGCGTCAACTCTTAAGAGTCATCAATATGTTTTCTATGTCGCATATTTGAAAGCCCCTTTTGGCAAGAATCCCCAAAACGCTTGCCTCCTTCTTTACTCGATATTGTTCATATGTTAGACAGTTTATACAGTTACATTACAAAACTAGGAATATTATTGAAAACGAATAAGTATTGCAAATTCGCCGATATGACAACTAATCCAAAGAAACTATGTTGTGGCTAACTTGTTTCTCAAACTAAATAGCAAGCTATATTTAGAGCAACATAAACCAACTTGCATAACTCACATTTGCGATAATAACTTGCCTAACTCACATTTACATATGCATTATTAATGAACTCTTAAATATAAAAAAAAAGAATTAATTTATGAATCTAATTACATCTAAGTTGTTGGTAACTAAATTTAAATTTGAGCGCATCACATTGCTTTGACGAGGTGCTAAACGATTGCGTCACCTCATAGGAGTCATCAACATGTTTTATACGACGTACATTTGAGAAGAGGGGAATCTCAAATATAGTTCGCTTTCATCTATGTTCGATATGTCAAACAGTTAATACAGTTACACTTAATGACAAACCAACTTGCATAACCTACATTTACATGACCACTTGCCCAACTCATATTCACATTTGCACTATTAATGAATTGAAATACCAAAATAAAAATGAATTAATTAAAAAAATTTGCTACATTTAAATTTGACTGCGAGAGCGAGCACATTTCTACGACGATGTGCTATATTAGTTTTTGGGAGTCTTCATCATGTTTTCTGTGATGTACATTTGAGAACCATTCCACGAGAGAATTTCAAATGTGATTGGCTGAGTATTTTGAATATAATTGGATTTCTTCTCTTTTCAACGTTGTTCACACAGTCAGACAGTTTATACAGTTACACTTAACAACAAATCAATTTGGGTAACTCATGTTTACATATGCGTTATTAATGAATTCTTAAATACAAAAATATAAAAATTGAATTTATGTACAAATTTAATTACACTCTAATTTGTCGTTAGATGTTAAATTTGTGTGTGAGCGTAAGAACATTACACTAAATGTCGAATATAATTAACGTTCATGTCTGTTCGATATGGATCACACAATTAAATAGTTACACTCACCAATAAACCAACTTGCTTAAACCACATTTGACTTAAAAAACTTGCTTAACTAACATATGAGTTACTAATAATTGAAAACCCTTAAGAGGTTTATATAGTAGAAAGCAAGCATCGGTTGGAATCCCTAACTCGAGTTCAAATTCTTGTATCTAATCTTTGGAGTCATTGACTATATTTGGTGTGTCTTTGACTTGAAAGTCTAAATTACGTTGTTGCCCTATGTGGTGTTTGATTATGCACGAAGAATAAAAATTAGTCTGCGACAATGTCCTGTGAGATTTATTAGGAAAAATACTAATAAAATAATTAATTAACGAATTTAATTGCTTTTGGATAGGTGGGTTCCACTAACCGTGTTTCTTTCGGCCGCTCACTTTGTCCCCTTCCCCTCTCTCTCGCGCACCCCCTATTAACTCCCATCACACGTTAGCGCTTTACCCCGACTGATATGCTAACTTGCGCCACCGATCTTATCCTGCACCCCCTCCACACAAGCACACTCCATTGCTCCGTTTTATTGGTAGTGAGATTTGTCATCGCATCACATGAATGCAGAGAGAGGTTTCCCCTAGAGATTAGGGGCTTGTTTTGTCTGGGACCAATGGGTTAAGAGAGTACGATCTTGTAGAGAGAGAAGAGAACAGGAGAGAGATTCAAAGTTAAGGTGCTTTTGCTTGCTCGTTTTGGCTGCCTGGCTTTTGCTTTTTAGTTTCTGCTTCTGCGTTAATACGTGAGGTTTCGTGGGGTGGGTTTGCTCTGCTCTCGAAAGATCTGGGCTGGGTTTTCTTCAAGCTTAGATTTTGGTGGGGGAATTCTTCAGACCGGTTTCCATGTCTGGGGGCAATGAAGTCAACGTTAGTGAATCCAGGGTAACAACTTTTCTTTGGTTTTTGCTGATTCAAAGTTTGATTTTTTCTGTGTTTTTTTATGTTGGATGGAGTTTATCTTAATGGGCTATCTGGGATACGGTTTTTGGTTTGTGATTTTGTTGTTGAAAAGCTGATTTGTTTCTTTCATTGGGGATGAAGACATTGTTCTGGTTTGAGTTGAGGTTTTTAGCTGTTTATGTTTGATAAGGATATGATTATTGGGTTTGTTATGCTTGTTCGAGTTCATCATGTTTTGGAGATGTTCTTGGTTGGAGATTTCATTGTTTGATGGATTTAATGTTGTGGTTTTGTCATGGGAAAGCTTCAGCTCTAAGAAAATGTATAGATGAACATGTGTTTTTCCGGTTTGTTTGCGATTCTACATCTTTACGGGAATGTTTTTGTTGGTTTTGTGTTGTTGTTATGTTGGAATAAGACATTGACATATGTAAAAAATTTATGGAATCGGATGCGCTCCTTTTACAGATGGTGGTTCCATTGAATACATGGGTCCTCATCTCCAATTTTAAGCTGTCATACAATCTTCTGCGCCGCCCTGACGGGACCTTCAACCGCCACTTGGCAGAATTCCTTGACCGGAAAGTGCCAGCCAATTCTAACCCTGTTGATGGGGTTGTCTCGTTTGATGTCATCATCGACCGTGAAACTAGCCTGCTCAGTCGAATCTATCATCCGGACGATGCTAATCTATCCCCGCTGAACATTGTTGATCCTGAGAGAGCGGTGAGCCAAGAGGTTCTTCCTGTCATAGTTTTCTTCCATGGTGGAAGCTTTGCACACTCCTCTTCAAACAGCGGTATATATGATATTCTGTGTCGCCGACTAGTTGGTATCTGCAAGGCTGTAGTGGTCTCTGTGAATTATCGTAGGGCTCCTGAAAATCGCTATCCATGTGCCTATGATGATGGATGGACAGCCCTGAGGTGGGTGAACTCTAGATCATGGCTTAAAAGTACAAGGGACTCAAACGTTCATATCTATCTAGCTGGCGATAGCTCTGGCGGGAACATTGTACACAATGTTGCTTTAAGAGCAGCAGAATCTGGAATCAATGTACTGGGAAATATACTGCTCAACCCTATGTTTGGTGGGCAGGAGCGGACTGAATCCGAGTTGCGATTGGATGGGAAATACTTTGTAACCATCCAAGACCGGGACTGGTACTGGAGAGCTTTTCTCCCTGATGGTGAAGATAGGGACCATCCAGCATGTAACCCATTTGGTCCCCGTGGTCAAAGCCTCGAAGCTGTCAAGTTCCCGAAGAGCCTTGTTGTGGTGGCTGGTTTGGATCTTGTTCAGGACTGGCAATTGGCTTACGCCAGAGGGCTCGAGAGTGCTGGCAAAAACATCAAACTTATGTATCTTGAGCAGGCCACAATTGGTTTCTACCTGTTGCCGAATAATGAGCATTTCTACACCGTGATGGATGAGATAAGTAAATTCGTGCTCTCCGATAATTGATAAAATTGACTTATACCACTCGATGATATATAACCTAAGCTTGACACTCCCAGAATAATGAAGGGATTGTTTGCAGTTTGTAAGATTGTGTAGCTATAGTAATTTACTGTTGTATTGATAATTGTGGCACTAAGATCCTGCTTTGGCCTGGTTCTTGTACGACGAGGGCTAGGCTTTGGTTGTTGGATGCAAAGGAGTGTGTGATTCTGCATCTAGCTGGATCATCGTATTTTGTTAGTTGGTTCGATAAAGCTTTTGCAGACAGCAGAATCTATTAACTAAAGTTTAGCAGTCCTATGAATGTTAAGATCCAAGGATTCCGGCTTCTGACCACAACGAAGAGGAGGACCGGGGGTTGTTGGTGTAATATCTCTAGTGGCTGATCGACGATTCAGTGACTTGCTAATGTAATATATAGCTAATTATCGGAACATGGATGGAAAAATTTATCCATGGAATCGTTGTTCTTGTAATGTTTATATATATATGTTCTAAGATTATATAAGATGTTTGTGTATTGGCAGTTGCCAATTGTTTGTTCTGCTCTTAAGCATGTTAAGAAATGTTTAAGAACAGTGGATATTGATGTTGAAATCTCTGCTCAAATTTTCAGTGGATTTGAAACTCCTCAGCCTCTAATCTGCTACATTCTGTTGGTAATTAATCTGTGTAGTACTACATCTTTTTTGACAGAGATTCGCTCCGAATCTCATTGTCTGAAGATAAAGGATTAGTCAATCTGGCCCGTTCGAATAAACGGTCTCGATTAACTCATTTCGTCAGTTCACCTTATATAAACTAAGGATTCTAAGTTTTCTTACACGCAAACCAATGACTCGATTTTTGTTATCATTAAGCTTCGGACGCTAAGGTTTGGAGAGGATCCAAACCGTTCTTTTCCTCTGAACTTTTGGAAAAAAGAAGTACTACCTTGTCTTTTGAAGATTTTGAGTGTAACATCATCCACACAAGCTGCTAAGCATGGGAAGAAGGGTATGAATGGGTAGGAGTGATTCAGCCTTATCACCGGATAATATCTCCGTTTGAGTTTGATTCGAAAAATTCTCTCTTGTCACCAATCACCACATGGCAAGCCTTAATTGAATGGTAGTTCATTTTTTGAACACGTTACAAATGTCTATTGGACAGATGATTCACTTTTTGGATACGTGACAAGCGTTTATCGAATGGTGATGACATTGGGAGGATGCATTAGTTGCAAAAGAGTTTTTCATGTCTCACTCACACCGTATATCTATGGCTAGAGCCAAGATCTTTCCATACGATTAGGAGTGATTTTGCTTTTTCACCTGCTATATATCCTCGTCTTTTATGTCTCAATCATCACGTGTATCTCTTACTCTATCCGATAACTTCTTATATGAAAAAAGAATAATTATACTTTATCACTAGACGATACATTCCATCAAAGCATCTCACTGATCACATAGATCTTTCACTCTTAGACAAGATTTTTTTCTATTGAGAAGAGTGAATAATTGTATTTACATTTTCGAACAAGTGACCAAAGGCCTTCACAAAAGGCAGAAAGGAAAAAAGAGAGCAATTGGCTATAGGACAAAGTTTATGAGCACCAAAGTACAATCTAATAGTCACATCCAAGCATCTTTCGATGCATATACATTTGAAAGAGAGAAACTTTTTTAGTACGTCGGAAATACTGTTTAGTACAATAAATATAATAATATAAATATTTATAAATTTAATCAATTGTTTTACGACATTGAATATACTAGATCCTGTTAAAAATAAATCAATAGAAAGTGGGTTACTTTCGTACTTAAAGCCCCTTTTTTTGGCTGACAAAAAAATAAAAAAAACAGATTAAACAACCCTAGGTGTGCAAAAAGTTTTTGAGCTAGCGTTTTCATAATACCTACAATTAACTACTTTAAGAGGTGACCCTAATGATAGTATTTAAAGGATTTGACCCAAGATTTTCCAAGGAAAACTGAAAATCTTTGTCCCTAATTCTCAATAGGCTGCTAAATGATTGAAAAATAGTTCATATTCGGGACTGATGGAGACTGATATATTCGTTCATGCTTGTCAATTCATGAATTGAAGGCCTCTTGTTTATAGATGGAAATAAATATTGTTAGGGGAACTTCGTTAAGGCTGCTTACGATAAAAATTTGAGCATGAAAAATCAAACAATTATCACGAAGGGTGAGAAACTAAGATTGTCTATAACGAAAGCTATACTTACGTGGAGTCGAAAAAGTAGCGAAATACAATAAAACATGGTTTTTGGGAGAATATCTCACTATTCAGCTAGTCAGATAACTATCATATTATGTGAGATAAGCGTGGAATTGAGAATTTTAAACTTTTATAAGAGATGCCCTACAGATAACATGATCAGGTGTCCTTAACCAACTAGTTAGGTCAGAGGTTGAGGGAGGAGAAGCAAAAGATAGACTTGTTTCTAAAGGAAAACAAAAGTCCCAAATTAGTGGTTGTTGGCTTTTGGGTCGCTTTTTCTAAAGGGACCACGTTTGGAATCAAACAATGAATCTCATCATCTGTGGGAGTTGCTTTCTCCACAATGATTTAAAAAACCCAGCACAGTAAGACACAGCTAAGCTTCTGAAAAAGACATGATGAACCCTAGTTTTAACTTTAATTAATTGACAATTAATTATGGTTTAGATCAAGTTAATCAAAACGCATGCTATTAGTTAATTGAATTGACAAGAGAGAAGGACAAGTGGTTTATTTATAGATAAGTTGAGGATTGCCTAACACACAGTGCAGTCGTCAGCCACTATGCAGGTTTCATATCAACCAACAATGTTATCGGATCAAGTGACGTTTGCAAAATCTTAATTTTAGTAATAATGTCGAAGAATTCATGGATTTGGAGACGTATGATTCGTTGGTTGAATCACCAGATGCGATCCGTGGCCGTTTCGTCGTCAGCATATGCTTATCTATTAAGTCATCGAATGATAAAAGTTGATAGATGAAGATGCAAGTGTTTTTAATATACATATATTTTGTTGTGACTGATATGTATTGATTATGCATTGTTGTCAACGTACTTATTTGAACAATAACAGTTGATAAATGAAGATGAAAGTGTTTTTAAAACATATTTTGGTGTGACCATTTCGTACATCGTGATCGCTTTTTCATCAACGTATGTTTATCTATTGAGTTGTTGAATGATAGAGGTTGATAGATGAAGATGAAAGTGTTTAAACGCATAGATATTTCAGTGTGACTGTCACACATTAATTATGCACTGTTAACATACTTATCTATTGAGTTGTTGAATGATAAAAGTTGATAGATGAAGATGAAAGTGTTTTTAAAATACAGATTCTCCATTATGATTGCCACACACTGATTATACACTCTCTTCAACATACTTATCTATTAAGTTGTTGAATGATAGAAGTTGATAGATAAATAAACTGTTTTTACACAGATATTTCGATGTGACTGCCACACACTGGTTATACACTGTCATCAGCATATTTATTTACTAAGTTGTTGAATGACAAAAATTGAAAGATGAAGACAGAAGTTTTTTAAAACACGAAAATTTCAGTGACGGCCACACACGGATTATATACTGTCATCAACATACTTATTTACTAATATTATACATTGTTGATCTTAATTTATGAACATATAGTAAGTAGATCGTTAATATTATATGATTCTGTGATGATATAACGCAACCATACGATCTTAAAGTCGATAATGAAACTAAATGGTATTTAAATTTCCAAGCAATAGTCTAAAAGACTCTAAACTAGCCTAATCTAATCGAAGCAACATAGATGAAGATTCGATGAACGAGAGACACGACGCTTGAGCCAACTTGTTCTACAACTGTGTCTGCAGTACACATGAAATTTTAAGTGGAAAAGACTAAAAGTTCTGAATTGCAAACACTTGATTGGGTTACTTACTAGACAAAAAATCCAACAGAGCTTTGTTATGGGCAAAGGCATAGGAACCCAAAGCCCACGTAAGGAAAAGGCTTAGGAACCAATACATACTTCTCCAATATAGCAGACTTCTCATACACAATCATTGAGCAATGGACGAGTATAATCTGAAAAAAAACATAGTAAATTAACCATTCATTGGAAATAATCTACTAGCGGGCGGATATCGCCCTCTCTACCTCTTCCGTCACGTGAAATTCTAGGAAACGCTTGATCTTTCAAAAGTTCCATTTGCCATCAACTACAACGCAAAACAGTTGACCACTGAACAGTTAGCTTGAGCCTTCGTGCTATGTTGACGCAATTATCTTATTGCACAACAAACACTAAATTGTAATCAGTTATATCTCCGAATTAGTATATCTTTCATCACGTAACGTGTGTCACACGATGATTTATACAAGAGATAACGTGGGTACATATATCGGTGATACCACAGTTGTACCAAGCCATAAGGACAGAGAACCCCCTTGATTGCAGGTTAAGAAAGACAGTTTCCTTTCATACAACATCGATTTCGTAGTGCAAGAAAAACTTGCGTAGGAGCAACCGAATGGAAGCAACTGATCTAACAAGCATATGTTTCCCAGTTACATGTAATGACACAGATCATATGAACAGAAATAGGAAGGAAGCTAACGTTGTAACGAAATTGCACAAACGGATATGGAAAACAAGATTTGGTATTCGTATTCCTTCATACAGAAAAAAGACAGCATATCAAAGTATCCCATGAGACTGATTTCTGCAACAAAAACATTATTATCTAGATTATAAGTTGTTAAGAGACAAACATGACATGACATCGCCGTGCTGGTTGATCCAAGAACAAAATTGACTACCAAACCGAGCCACTCAGCGTGATTTGGAAACATATGCAATTGAAGCTGCAGCAATAAGGGTTGTCGCCGATGAGATCAAAGTCCAGAAACTCTTCTTCTTCTGCGCCTCTGACGACTTCTGCAGAGACTCGAGTTGTTTCTGCAAGTCTCCGACCATCTTCTCCTTGTTTCTGAA